CTGCCTTGTTGGCTGCAGAACGGCAGTTCCAGAGGCTGCCGGAGACCTGGAACTCCACGTGGGTCATGTGGGCAGGGACCACCAGGTTAGAGTGGCAGCAGCCACGCGGTGTGAGGCGTTTGTATAGCCTGTGCGGAGAGGAGAGAACAGGGATAGACAGACACATAGTTGACAGGCTACAGAAAATGGCTACAATAATGCAAAGGAGATTGGAATGAAATGAACTAAACATCTAGGAAAGCGAGAGAGCGGGGCCTCCCTCACTTACGTTTCACTGAAACACTCAAATATAGCCCTTGTCACAACACAACTGATTTGCTCAAATGCATTAAGAAGGAAAGAAATTCCACAAATTAACTTTTAACAATTGAAATGCATGCCTGCCTCATGAAGCTGGTTGAGAGTATGCAAAGCTGTCATCAAGGCTAAGGGTGGCTATTTGAAGAATCTCAAATAATATATATATTTTGATTTGTTTAACACTTTTTTTGGTTACTACATGATTCCATATGTGTCCAAACTTTTGACTGGTGCTGTATGTGACCACTCGCTTTTACTCTTACCTCCACAGCCCTTGCCAGATACGTCTCTGTGTGCTACTTTAAAGAGACAAATGCGTAAAGAACATTATCAGACAGACACATTAAGGACCAACCAGACACAGACACCATGAGGTGGTTATGTGTGTGTAAGAAAGAGAGGCTACATGTCTTACTATGGGTTCCTTCCTACTGAACTGGAGTCTATTTTAGCTGCAGCTCACTTTGCATGTTGGGGAGAAGAGAAAGGGCTTCAGGAAGCACAGTTGTTAGACCCTGGTGCTCTGCTCTCTCTTCTCTCTCTCTCCATCTCTACTTATCCACCTTTTCTCTTCCCTCTTCCCCCCCTCATCTCCCCCCACTTCTATCTCTTTCTAGCTGTGTATTGTACTAGTCCTCCCCCTCTCCCTCCACCTCTACCTCCTGCTAGGTTGTAAATGAGCCCTTGGAGGCGTCCAGTGTGTGGCTTAGATTTCTGTGGCACTGGTGGCGATCTGTCACCCAAATTGATGAAGCAGATTTATGACGGCTGCTGGGCACAACACATTAAGTTGACAGTGATGTATGGGGGGGCTAACGCCACCCTGATCCTAGCCTCGCACCACAGACGCTAATGCACACAGACGCTAATGCACACAAATGCTAACGCACACAAATGCACACAGACGCTAATGCACACAAATGCTAACGCACACAAATGCTAGCGCACACAAACGCTAACACACACAAACACTAACGAACACACACCACTAGCACACATATGCTAACATACACCAGTAGCACACACTGGTTTTAGGATGTGTTAGGCAGCAGCATGATGACATTTCATACACTGTTTGGGGTTTTTATCTTTCCCTCTCCCTCCTCACTCACTCCATTTCTCTCCATATTTTCTACTTTCTCTCTCCATCTATCCCTTTCTTTCACTCCATCTCCTTCTTTCTCTCCTTCTCTTTTTCTCTCTTCTTCACCTTCAATCTCCAGGCTCATCCGACCACCAGTAAACTGCCCTTGAAGGACGCCTTTACGTTCGACGACTACAGGTTGGTGTGTGTGTGTGTATGTGACGTGCGTGTGTAAGACAGTCAGAGAATGTAGAACAACTGGCAGCATCCGGGATGGCCTGTTGTTTTTCATTGTTCTGTCATTAGAGACAAATCATCTTTGAGGGAATAATTTATATCCACTCCTTTTATCTTCCCATTGTGTTGGATGTGATGCAAGCCTCCACTTCCGCCAGGCAATGCGTTGTGGGAATGAAGGGTCCGGGACAGCGTGCGTTGTCTTGTACCCGCGGTGCTGAGGCCTTCTGGAGGAACCTCCTTTAGCAGTTAGCCCAGTTTAAAATGTTTAGAATTCTCAGAAGATGACTTGACATCATTATAACAAGATCACAGATGTATATTTATTTGATGCCCTTGTCTTGAATTACTTAATAAAGATTATTAAGATCCTCCAGTGTTAACAATCACCTGCCTGTAACTAAAGGCTAGACTTTATCCACAACAGTGTTGTCTAGAACAGGCTTGTTCTCTATAACCTATTAGTTTTCTATACATCAACTATTACTAAAGCAAAGGTTATGATTGGGACTGGTAGTCATCATCGGTTGGCTTCAGAACAGGCGACCACACATTTCCTCAAGTTGCTACAGTCACTAGCTAGGTTTCCATCCAATTTGTGACAGATTTTCATGCAAATATTCTCAAATCTGCATGAAAACAATATGCACATTTTCCCACCAGAGATGTGTTTCCATCAAACGTACTTTTTGAGGATAAAAGGCTGTGCGTGATGACACAGTGCAGATAAAAATTACTTTTGCCGTTAAATTCCTATGTACCGAATAGAAAAATACAAGTTAAATGGGTTTCTATCGCATTCTACTGATGGTTCTGTCACAAAAACATTTGCGTTATTTCCATTTTACATTTGAGTCATTTAGCAGACGCTGTTATCCAGAGCGACTTACAGTTAGTGAGTGCATACATAAAGAAATTATACTGGTCCCCCGTGGGAATCGAACCCACAACCCTGGCATTGCAAGCGCCATGCTCTACCAACTGAGCTACACGGGATGTTATATAGCACTCTGGTCTTCAAACATGTGCTCTAGCCAACAGCCTTTAGATACAGTGTGAGTAGGCTACCTACATGATGAGATTATTATGGGTAAGAGTGATATTATTTGTATTTGTCAAACGGCAGCCAAGCATCGATAATCATGTAACCAGAATAAGACCTTCAATATTTATTGGAAAGGAGCATCAAGCTCATCACCTTGTACATTCACCACTCTGTGAAGTTCCTCATAATTTACAGTATTTAATCTGTAACCTAATAAAGGGCATGCTTTCCGGAGTCGTGGTGGGAGGACCACACAACATATCATCGTGTGACTCCAACTTTACTTTGATATGATAGTTATTACAGTGGGGGAAAAAAGTATTTAGTCAGCCACCAATTGTGCAAGTTCTCCCACTTAAAAAGATGAGAGAGGCCTGTAATTTTCATCATAGGTACACGTCAACTATGACAGACAAATTTAGAATTTTTTTTCCAGAAAATCACATTGTAGGATTTTTAATGAATTTATTTGCAAATTATGGTGGAAAATAAGTATTTGGTCACCTACAAACATGCAAGATTTCTGGCTCTCACAGACCTGTAACTTCTTCTTTAAGAGGCTGCTCTGTCCTCCACTCGTTACCTGTATTAATGGCACCTGTTTGAACTTGTTATCAGTATAAAAGACACCTGTCCACAACCTCAAACAGTCACACTCCAAACTCCACTATGGCCAAGACCAAAGAGCTGTCAAAGGACACCAGAAACAAAATTGTAGACCTGCACCAGGCTGGGAAGACTGAATCTGCAATAGGTAAGCAGCTTGGTTTGAAGAAATCAACTGTGGGAGCAATTATTAGGAAATGGAAGACATACAAGACCACTGATAATCTCCCTCGATCTGGGGCTCCACGCAAGATCTCACCCCGTGGGGTCAAAATGATCACAAGAACGGTGAGCAAAAATCCCAGAACCACACGGGGGGACCTAGTGAATGACCTGCAGAGAGCTGGGACCAAAGTAACAAAGCCTACCATCAGTAACACACTACGCCGCCAGGGACTCAAATCCTGCAGTGCCAGACGTGTCCCCCTGCTTAAGCCAGTACATGTCCAGGCCTGTCTGAAGTTTGCTAGAGTGCATTTGGATGATCCAGAAGAGGATTGGGAGAATGTCATATGGTCAGATGAAACCAAAATAGAACTTTTTGGTAAAAACTCAACTCGTCGTGTTTGGAGGACAAAGAATGCTGAGTTGCATCCAAAGAACACCATACCTACTGTGAAGCATGGGGGTGGAAACATCATGCTTTGGGGCTGTTTTTCTGCAAAGGGACCAGGACGACTGATCCGTGTAAAGGAAAGAATGAATGGGGCCATGTATCTTTAGATTTTGAGTGAAAACCTCCTTCCATCAGCAAGTGCATTGAAGATTGAACGTGGCTGGGTCTTTCAGCATGACAATGATCCCAAACACACCGCCCGGGCAACGAAGGAGTGGCTTCGTAAGAAGCATTTCAAGGTCCTGGAGTGGCCTAGCCAGTCTCCAGATCTCAACCCCATAGAAAATCTTTGGAGGGAGTTGAAAGTCTGTGTTGCCCAGCGACAGCCCCAAAACATCACTGCTCTAGAGGAGATCTGCATGGAGGAATGGGCCAAAATACCAGCAACAGTGTGTGAAAACCTTGTGAAGACTTACAGAAAACGTTTGACCTGTGTCATTGCCAACAAAGGGTATATAACAAAGTATTGAGAAACTTTTGTTATTGACCAAATACTTATTTTCCACCATAATTTGCAAATAAATTCGTAAAAAATCCTACAATGTGATTTTCTGGATTTTTTTTTTCTCATTTTGTCTGTCATAGTTGACGTGTACCTATGATGAAAATTACAGGCCTCTCTCATCTTTTTAAGTGGGAGAACTTGCACAATTGGTGGCTGACTAAATACTTTTTTTCCCCACTGTATATTACCGCCATTTCTCGCATTATTGATTTTACCGACACAAAAGATCCCACCATGTCGAACGAACAAATTGTCTGTCGGCATTTATCAAATTGTGACCGGCGTTTCATGTTTTCATCAGCCCGGTCGTGATTTTTTTCATGCGTCAGGTAATTCATCCGCACAAAATGTTTGGATGGAAACGCGGTTAGAAACAAGGTTTGCTATCTGATGTGGGTGAAGCCACTTGTCTTGGGGACCAGTAGTATTTCCCCAAAACATGAGGCTATAACTGGGGTCCTCAGTTTTCCCTGCTCAGGTCACGTGGTCTGGAAAAACACACGGCCCTTGTTATCATTGGCTAGTCCATGAAAAGTGAATCTTGTTGCTGATTGATGATTGGTTTACCGTGACCTTTGATCCCTATAGATGGGCGGTTTCCTCAGTGATGACCCGTCAGAACCAAATCCCTACGGAAGACGGTAGCCGTGTTACCCTCGCCCTCATCCCTCTCTGGGACATGTGTAACCATACCAACGGCCTGGTGAGTACTACAAACACGCTACTACATGCTTATTACATCACTATTACATGTCTAAAACATGCCTTTGCATGGCTAAAACATGCCTATTGCATGGCTAAAACATGGCTGAAGCATGCCTATTGCATGACTGAAGCATGCCTATAACACTACTGCACACTACCACCCTCATCCCACTATTTGAGAGGTTTTAAATTATTCTGAAAAAAATTATGTTAGGAATCTTCCAATCACAGTTTTTTCTTTAAAACAATCAACCCACACATGGTCAAGAACTCCACTGTGGAAAATGCTAGATTTGAGAGAAACCACACAGTCTGTGTTTTCCTCAGTTGATTACGCTTATCTCATGGGCAAATTTTATTTATTTGAATAATTTTTATTTGATTGTGTTTAGTGACTGATTTGTAACAGAGCATTAATATCCCCTCCTTTAGTATGCATGTTAACTGCATTTACTCTCCCCTTTTTTGTTGTTGTTGTAAAGACCTGATACGTAGCTGAAACAAGTCATTTAAAGACTAAAATGTCTTCCTGTGTACTCCCTTGGTGTTAGTTTAATAAAAATGGGTTACAACTTCCTCTGATATATTTCCACATTTTATTGGTCTTCTTTAGCTCCAGTTCCTTCAGTATGTTTTTATTCTCACTGGTGATGATTGTATGGGTTCATTCGATGTCCTTCATTTCTGCCCATTTGTGTAAAGCTCTCACTAACTCAGAATCTGGGAATTATATGGATTGATACGGTCCTTGATTATATATGCGAAACTAATACATTCATGTTTTGAAATACATTTGCTTTCTGATTTTGTTCGTTAGTCTCTTGAGATTGTTAGTAAAGGAATGTATGACGGATATACAGCTCTTTAATACTAGGAGAGAAAATGATTGTACATTGTTAAATGAGCTGGTCATGTATATAAAATAAATGTGCTGCAAATTGTATGGTCAGTCAGTCAGTGAAGAAGCTCTGATAATTCACCGCAGCTCTGAAATATAACAACTCTATTTATTTTACTGTAAAGTGTGATGCGATTTTTTTTTTTAAACAAGTTTGATTAGTGACAGTTGGAAAAGCTCATTGAGTTGAATCAAGGACTGGTTCAAATCAATCAGTGAATGGATGAATTACTGTTTGCCTGTTGTGTGTTGTTCAGATCACCACTGGTTACAACCTGGAGGATGACAGGTGTGAGTGTGTGGCTCTGCAGGACTACAAAGAGAATGAACAGGTGAGTCGGGTCAGGGCAGCATGGAACTACTGCACCTTGTACTTTTAGCTACTATACAAATAATTGTCCAGGGGGTGTACATGTCAATTAAAAGGCAATTTGTTCTAAATCAAGTGTCAACTCCCTCCATCTAGGTTACTTTTAACAACAGCCACAACAACAGTTCCCTAAATGGATGTTGCATGTATCTTTTTTTGTTTGTTTTCTATGTATTATTTTTAGTTCATCACACAATTCAGAGTTCAACTGTATTCTGCCATATGAATGAATTAAATGAACTTGAGCTTGATAGGCTGCTGTACAAATTTAAACACACTTCTGAAAGCTGTCTGTAAAGCCGTACTCTGTAATTGATTGAGTCTCGGGCCTGAGTATCACTAGCGGTGTTGTAGGGGTGCCGTCATGCTCACTTCTAACTGAGAGGCCTTGACAGACTGGTTGACTGGTGTTGATGTTATGTCGGGGAGAGGGAGAGGGAGAGGGAGAGGGAGAGGGCCATGCCAGAGCTGGGTGCCAGTCAGCTGGACCAAGCCAGGCTTAACTGTCCAACCCTCTGCTCTAAAGCAGTGTCTTATCGTTTCACTCCCTCCCTGTCTGTCACTCACTGTCCAACCCTCTGCTCTAAAGCAGCGTCTTATAGTTTCACTCCCTCCCTCACTGTCACTCACTGTCCAACCCTCTGCTCTAAAGCAGTGTCTTATAGTTTCACTCCCTCCCTCACTGTCACTCACTGTCCAACCCTCTGCTCTAAAGCAGCGTCTTATAGTTTCACTCCCTCCCTCACTGTCACTCACTGTCCAACCCTCTGCTCTAAAGCAGCGTCTTATAGTTTCAGTCCCTCCCTCCCTGTCACTCACTGTCCAACCCTCTGCTCTAAAGCAGCGTCTTATAGTTTCACTCCCTCCCTCCCTGTCACTCACTGTCCAACCCTCTGCTCTAAAGCAGTGTCTTATAGTTTCAGTCCCTCACTCACTGGCTGGAGGGAGTTTCATAGGATTGGTGTAAGCATTGACTGGAGGGAGTTTCATAGGATTGGTGTAAGCATTGGCTGGAGGGAGTTTCATAGGATTGGTGTAAGCATTGGCTGGAGGGAGTTTCATAGGATTGGTGTAAGCATTGGCTGGAGGGAGTTTCATAGGATTGGTGTAAGCATTGGCTGGAGGGAGTTTCATAGGATTGGTGTAAGCATTGGCTGGAGGGAGTTTCATAGGATTGGTGTAAGCATTGGCTGGAGGGAGTTTCATAGGATTGGTGTAAGCATTGGCTGGAGGGAGTTTCATAGGATTGGTGTAAGCATTGGCTGGAGGGAGTTTCCACAGTTGTTAAATCCATGCTTTGGGAGAAGGCTGGAGAATCGGGACGCAACCAACCTCTATTGCTCCCTCTCCTTCCTCCCCCTCCCCTCTCTGCTCCCCCTCCCTACAGTATGGAAGTCCACCTCTTTCTGTTCAGAATGGGAATTATTTGATAAGATTCAGAGAGACAGTGAGGGGTGTGGGAGGGGTGGTGATGGGGAGTGGAGCGCTTGATCCCATGATTCCTCTGGCAGATATCACCATCCGGCAAAAGTGCACTGAGCTCTCAGAGGATGTGTCCCAAATAGCACCCTATTCCGTATATAGTACACTACAGGCCTATGGGCCCTGGTCAAAAGTAGTGCACTACATAGGGAAAAGGCATTTGGGATGCAGACTCGGCCTGAGCTCACAGAGACACAAACCACTAAGCTACATTTATCTACTAAGCTTTATCACGCCGCCCCCTATCTATCCCCTGCTCCTACCTCACTCTCCTTCTTTCTCTCTCACACTTGTTCCGTTCTGCTATCTGTAAATGTGGATGTAATATGGTGGAGCCATACGTGTGGGGATTCTCTGTGCTCCTGTGAAGCTTCCACTAGATCAGACATGATATCATGTTTATGAGGGAAAATGGTATATCGGGAATAGGGGGTGGAATGTTCACCACATTGCTTACATCCAAATGATCCAACCGTTACCGATCTGCAGGAACCTTTTAGCGGTTGAGTTGGAATCAGACGATAAAGGGGAAGTTCAGCTAACTTTAGCAACCATCTAGTAAAGTACTGAAGTTTTTTGTGTCTGTTTAAAGAAAACCAAACCGTGCATTACAGTTACTCCTGGCCCATATTCTTTTTTCAGTGTGAGGAACCATCTAAGATTTAAGTTTTAAAATACTGAACTACCCCTTTAATGTTGAGTGGCTGTTCTTCTCTCTTGTCTGTCCTCAGATCTACATCTTCTACGGGACGCGATCCAACGCTGAGTTTGTGATCCACAACGGCTTCTTCTTCCAGGAGAATGCCCATGACAGAGTCAAGATCAAACTGGGTGTGTCCAAGAGTGAACGTCTGTACGCCATGAAGGCAGAGGTGCTGGCCCGCGCTGGCATCCCCTCGTAAGTACAGAGATGCACACATACACACAGGAATCCCCTCATAAGTAGGGAGGGAGGGACAGTGGTAGGGAGGGAAACTGGAAGGGAGAGAGAAGAGGGGTAGAGTGAGAGAAAGAAATAGATGGTATCTCTCAATTATGGCAGAGACTGAGGTAATTTCAGGAAGGCAATATTTTCCTGCATTTCAGTGAATTGATCAATGTGACAATTGTCAGGACATGGCTGATATTATTACACTGCAAACACATTACTGAGGCCCGCTCTAGTCTGGCAGCAATACTATTCAATTACCCCTCTTTGCCCAGCACTAGTGAATCCAGGAGAGGAGAGTTTACTCTTAAAACAAAGGCTACACTGGGAGACTAAGGCTATGTCTCAAACGACACCCTATTCCTTTATAGTGCACTACATTTGACCAGAGCCCCATGTGGCTCACAACTCCTTTCATCCGTCTTCCCTTCATATATTGTATTTTTATTTAACCTTTTATTTAAGCAGGGAGTCATGCTGAGACCACCTGCATGAACACACCAATAAACAACAATTACATTATACATATCTATAGTATATACACATCAATTATACAATACATGAAACGCACACACAAAACACAAAAAGCAAAACACAATCATATGAAACAAACACATTCTTCAGTTAAAAGGCCCTCTAACATCTGCCTGAATTGGGCTAGAGGTACCAACTCTTAAGGACTTTTGGAGATCATTCCACATGAGAGGTGCAAACAAATGAAAAGCATATTTACCTAACTGGGTGGAGATTTAAGGGATCTCCAGAGTTAGCCATCCCTGAGTCTGGGTCTGGTTATACGTCTGAAGGTTAGTAAAGAGGTTAGGTATGGCGGAAGTTTATGCAAGAGGGCTTTCTAGACAAAAATAGCATAATGCATTGATCTATGAGACTTCAAAGAGGGCCAGCCTACTTTCTGATACAAAATGCAATGATGTCTAATGAAACAATCGCCCGTAATAAAGCGCAATGCACTATGATGCATTTCGTCCAATGGCTTCAATACAGTGGCAGCTGCATTCATATAGACGATATCGCCATAGTCAATAACCAGCATGAATGTTGACCAAATTATTAGTTTTCTGCTATTTAACAAAAAACAGGACCTGTTCCTATAGAAGAAGCCTATTTTAATTCTTAATTTCTTAACTCCTCAACATGCTTTTTAAAAGATAGCTTTTTGTCAATTCCGATGCCCAGATATTTATAAGCGGGTACACGATCAATGAGGGCACCATCCAAAGTACGTATGCATAAATCAGACACATTTTACGTGATTTGGAAAATAACATATACTTGGTTTTACCTGCATTAAGTACCAATTTCAGTTCAACAAAGGCTTTCTGCAGGGCAATACAGGCAGATTGAAGCTCTGACAGAGCCTAGTCAGTTGTAGTCAGCAATAGCATACACCACAGTGTTTTTTTATATAGATAAATCAATATTAATGTAAATAGTGAAAAGAACCGGACCATTCGGTGTATAGGCGACAGAAAGACAGCCGTTGCCTCTGTGTGCCTTTTTAAACACCATATATCACTATCTCAGTTTAACAGAGCCCCAAACAGCTACAACACAACAGGCAATGGCATACACCACAATGTCATCAGGATACAGGTGGAAGTTTATTATTATTTACAGATAAACCAATATTGTTCATGTAAATAGTGAAAAGAACCGGACCAAGAATTGATCCCAGATAGACATCGTGTGCTATTGCCTCTGTGCCTTTGAACACCATATATCACTATGTACAGTGAGGGAAAAAAGTATTTGATCCCCTGCTGATTTTTGTACGTTTGCCCACTGACAAATAAATGATCAGTCTATAATTTTAATGGTAGGTTTATTTGAACAGTGAGAGACAGAATAACAACAAAAAAATCCAGAAAAACGCATGTCAAAAATGTTATAAATTGATTTTGCATTTTAATGAGGGAAATAAGTATTTGACCCCCTCTCAATCAGAATGATTTCTGGCTCCCAGGTGTCTTTTATACAGGTAACGAGCTGAGATTAGGAGCACACTCTTAAAGGGAGTGCTCCTAATCTCAGCTTGCTACCTGTATAAAAGACACCTGTCCACAGAAGCAATCAATCAATCAGATTCCAAACTCTCCACCATGGCCAAGACCAAAGAGCTCTCCAAGGATGTCAGGGACAAGATTGTAGACCTACAAAAGGCTGGAATGGGCTACAAGACCATCGCCAAGCAGCTTGGTGAGAAGGTGACAACAGTTGGTGCGATTATTCGTAAATGGAAGAAACACAAAATAACTGTCAATCTCCCTCGGCCTGGGGCTCCATGCAAGATCTCACCTCGTTGAGTTGCAATGATCATGAGAACGGTGAGGAATCAGCCCAGAACTACACGGGAGGATCTTGTCAATGATCTCAAGGCAGCTGGGACCATAGTCACCAAGAAAACAATTGGTAACACACTACGCCGTGAATGACTGAAATCCTGCAGCGCGCGCAAGGTCCCCCTGCTCAAGAAAGCACATATACAGGCCCGTCTGAAGTTTGCCAATGAACATCTGAATGATTCAGAGGAGAACTGGGTGAAAATGTTGTGGTCAGATGAGACCAAAATGGAGCTCTTTGGCATCAACTCAACTTGCTGTGTTTGGAGGAGGAGGAATTCTGCCTATGACCCCAAGAACACCATCCCCACCGTCAAACATGGAGGTGGAAACATTATGCTTTGGGGGTGTTTTTCTGCTAAGGGGACAGGACAACTTCATCGCATCAAAAGGACGATGGACGGGGCCATGTACCATCAAATCTTGGGTGAGAACCTCCTTCCCTCAGCCAGGGCATTGAAAATGGATTGTGGATGGGTATTCCAGCATGACAATGACCCAAAACACACGGTCAAGGCAACAAAGGAGTGGCTCAAGAAGAAGCACATTAAGGTCCTAGCCAGTCTCCAGACCTTAATCCCATAGAAAATCTGTGGAGGGAGCTGAAGGTTCGAGTTGCCCAACGTCAGGCTCGAAACCTTAATGACTTGGAGAAGATCTGCAAAGAGGAGTGGGACAAAATCCCTCCTGAGATGTGTGCAAACCTGGTGGCCAACAACAAGAAACGTTTGGCCTCTGTGATTGCCATCAAGGGTTTTGCCACCAAGTACTAAGTCATGTTTTGCAGAGGGGTCAAATACTTATTTCCCTTATTAAAATGCAAATCAATTTATAACATTTTTGACATGCGTTTTCTTTCAGGATTTTTTTGTTGTTATTCTGTCTCTCACTGTTCAAATAAACCTACCATTAAAATTATAGACTGATTATATCTTTGTCAGTGGGCAAACGTACAAAATCAGCAGGGGATCAAATACTTTTTTCCCTCACTGTATCTGTCAGTTTAACAACAGAGCCCCAAACAGCAACAACAAAACAAAACAGGCTATCTTTAATCTAATTTCCACTGTGAGATCCAGAATGCCCCATCAATAGGAGATTTAAAAAGCTCTTAAAATGAAAGAGAGGGAGGGCTGCATAATATTAGGGTAATGATAAAATGATTAAGCTTCCTATTGATGAAAATGTCAGGGCGGGGGATAGAAAGCATCCCTCATGCTATAGAGACCTATTCTGAGACAATTATGCAATGTTTATCCTGGATAGATTTCAAATGACCAAAGCCCCCCAAAATTCTGCTTTGCTGGAACAAAAGCCAGCGCCCACACCAGCCCACCAGCCTGGCCACCCCTGGTGTAGTGGTCTCTCTGTCTCTTGCCCATTCGCTCTCTCTCTTGCTTGTAATTGATTGAGTGTATATTAAAAATGCATCAGGGGGATCATGGTTCGGCCTCCACTCAGCTTGTATCAGTCAGCTGATGCTAAACGTGAGTGGGCCTGGGTTAACTGTGGGCCACTGGCCACCATTAACACATACTGTACCTGCCAAGCCACTGATCAGGGTTTTAAGATGGTTCACGTCATACAGGGATTCATTGTGGAAGGTTTTTTCTTCTTCTTTGGAGTGAGGCGTACGGGGAGGGTTGGGGCTACAAGGTCCTGTGGGTTCTACTGGTCTAGGTTTAACTAAGAGGTCATACAGTAAAAAATCCCTGTCTTAGGTCAGTTAGGATCACCGCTTTATTTTAAGTATGTGAAATGACAGAATAATAGTAGAGAGAATGATTTATTTCAGCTTTTATTTCTTTGGTCACATTCCCAGTGGGTCAGAAGTTTACATACACTCAATTAGTATTTGGTAGCATTGCCTTTGAATTGTTTGTCTTGGGTCAAATGTTTCGGGTAGCCTTCCACAAGCTTCCCACAATAAGTTGGGTGAATTTTGGCCCAGTCCTCCTGACAGAGCTGGTGTAACTGAGTCAGGTTTGTAGGCCTCCTTGCTCGCACACTCTTTTTCAGTTCTGCCCACAAATGTTCTATAGGATTGAGGTCAGGGCTTATTGATGGCCACTCCAATACCTTGACTTTGTTGTCCTTAAGCCATTTTGCCACAACTTTTGGAAGTATGCTTGGGGTCATTGTCCATTTGGAAGACCCATTTGCAACCAAGATTTAACTTCCTGACTGATGTCTTGATGTTGCTTCAATATATCCACATAACTTTCCTTCCTCATGATGCCATCTGTTTTGTGAGGTGCACTAGTCCCTCCTGCAGCAAAGCACCCCCACAGCATGATGCTGCCACCCCCGTGCTTCACAGTTGGGATGGTGCTCTTCGGCTTGCAAGCTCTCCCACTTTTTCCTCCAAACATAACTATGGTCATTATGGCCAAACAGTTCTATGTTTGTTTCATCAGACCAGAGGACATTTCTCTAAAAAGTATGATCTTTGTCCCCATGTGCAGTTGCAAACCGTAGTCTGGCGTTTTTATGGCGGTTTTGGAGCAGTGGCTTCTTCCTTGCTGAGCGGCTTTTCAGGTTATGTCGATATAGGACTCGTTTTACTGTGGATACAGATACTTTTGTACCTGTTTCCTCCAGCATCTTCACAAGGTCCTTTGTTGTTGTTCTGGGATTGATTTGCACTTTTCGCACCAAAGTACGTTCATCTCTAGGAGACAGAACGCGTCTCCTTCCTGAGCGGTATGATGGCTGCGTGGTCCCATGGTGTTTATACTTGCGTACTATTGTTTGTACAGATGAAGGTGGTACCTTCAGGCGTTTGGAAATTGCTCCCAAGGATGAACCAGACTTGTGGATGTCTACATTTTCTTTTCTGAGGTCTTGGCTGATTTCTTTTCATTTTCCCATGATGTCAATTAAAGAGGCACTGAGTTTGAAGGTAGGCCTTGAAATACATCCACAGGTACACCTCCAATTGACTCAAATTATGTCAATTAGCCTATCAGAGGCTTCTAAAGCCATGACATAATTTTCTGGACTTTTCCAAGCTGTTTAAAGGCACAGTCAACTTAGTGTATGTAAACTTCTGACCCACTGGAATTGTGATACAGTGAATTATAAGTGAAATAATCTGTCTGTAAACAATTGTTGGAAAAATTACTTGTGTCATGCACAAAGTAGATGTCCTAACCGACTTGCCAAAACTACAGTTTGTTAACAAGACATTTGTGGAGTGGTTGAAAAACAAGTTTTAATGACTCCAACGTAAGTGTATGTAAACTTCCGACTTCAACTGTATGTGTGCGTGCAAAGGGTCATGTGAATTGGAGAAGTTGTTGTGCCTGTACTATGAGGTTTCTTTTTCACTCTTTCTCTTGCCCTCTCTTCTCCCCCCCACCCCCAGGTCCAGTATCTTTGCCCTGCATTGCAGCGATCCTCCAATCTCTGCCCAGCTACTGGCCTTCCTCAGAGTCTTCTGTATGACTGAGGGTAAGACACACACTCGCTCGCACACGTAAATTCTGGCATCGGGAACTTCCCCATGGATCCCCACACGGTCACACACACTAAGGCAGGACACCAGATCTGACTGAGGAGTTGGGAGTTATCCAGATGGTCTGAAATATCCACCTATTGAAACACGCTAGTGACTGGTGTCATAAATCACACTGTGCCAGGCTAAAGCCAGGCTAGCGTCCTCCGACTAGAAGCTAGGCAAACCAGGATTCAAATACAGTTTGAAATCATTTCAAATACTTTACTTGATCGGCTAACTTGTTTAATGGGAAAAGTGCAACCCCGCCCTCCTGGCACTCCAGGCAGGCTAAAGCAAACTCTGAGTATTTTAAAGATTTCAAATAGTATTTGAACCCAGGTCTGGCTAGCATCCTACAGCTAGTTTAAGCTTACTAAATGCTCTACGCAGACGCAATATTCGAAATGTTGCAATGTCGTTTTACATCACAAAAGGCTCCATTCGGCATACCTTTTTACCACCTGAAAATTTAGACAAGATTCCGCATGTTTTCTTGATCTGATCTACAGTGAGGGGGAAAAAGTATTTGATCCCCTGCTGATTTTGTACGTTTGCCCACTGACAAAGAAATGATCAGTCTATAATTTTAATGGTAGGTTTATTTGAACAGTGAGAGACAGAATAACAACAAAATAATCCAGAAAAACACATGTCAAAAATGTTATAAATTGATTTGCATTTTAATGAGGGAAATAAGTATTTGACCCCCTCTCAATCAGAATAATTTCTGGCTCCCAGGTGTCTTTTATACAGGTAACAAACTGAGATTAGGAGCACACTCTTAAAGGGAGTGCTCCTAATCTCAGCTTGTTACCTGTATAAAATACACCTGTCCACAGAAGCAATCAATCAATCAGATTCCAAACTCTCCACCATGGCCAAGACCAAAGAGCTCTCTAAGGATGTCAGGGACAAGATTGTAGACCTACACAAGGCTGGAATGGGCTACAAGACCATCGCCAAGCAGCTTGGTGAGAAGGTGACAACAGTTGGTGCGATTATTCGCAAATGGAAGAAACACAAAAGAACTGTCAATCTCCCTCGGCCTGGGGCTCCATGCAAGATCTCACCTCGTGGAGTTGCAAATGATCATGAGAACGGTGAGGAATCAGCCCAGAACTACACGGGAGGATCTTGTCAATGATCTCAAGGCAGCTGGGACCATAGTCACCAAGAAAATAATTGGTAACACACTACGCCGTGAAGGACTGAAATCCTGCAGCGCGCGCAAGGTCCCCCTGCTCAAGAAAGCACATATACATGCCGTCTGAAGTTTGCCAATGAACATCTGAATGATTCAGAGGAGAGCTGGGTGAAAGTGTTGTGGTCAGATGAGACCAAAATGGAGCTCTTAGGCAGAGTTGAGTTGATGCCAATGACCCCAAGAACACCATCCCCACCGTCAAATATGGAGGTGGAAACATTATGCTTTGGGGTTGTTTTTCTGCTAAGGGGACAGGACAACTTCACCGCATCAAAGGGACGATGGACAGGGCCATGTACCGTCAAATCTTGGGTGAGAACCTCCTTCCCTCAGCCAGGGCATTGAAAATGGGTCGTGGATGAGTATTCCAGCATGACAATGACCCAAAACACACGGCCAAGGCAACAAAGGAGTGGCTCAAGAAGAAGCACATTAAGGTCCTGGAGTGGCCTAGCCAGTCTCCAGACCTTAATCCCATAGAAAATCTGTGGAGGGAGCTGAAGGTTCGAGTTGCCAAACGTCAGCCTCAAAACCTTAATGACTTGGAGAAGATCTGCAAAGAGGAGTGGGACAAAATCCCTCCTGAGATGTGTGCAAACCTGGTGGCCAACTACAAGAAACGTCTGACCTCTGTGATTGCCAACAAGGGTTTTGCCACCAAGTACTAAGTCATATTTTGCAGAGGGGTCAAATACTTATTTCCCTCATTAAAATGCAAATCAATTTATAACATTTTTGACATGTGTTTTTCTGGATTATTTTGTTGTTATTCTGTCTCTCACTGTTCAAATAAACCTACCATTAAAATTATAGACTGATCATTTCTTTGTCAGTGGGCAAACGTACAAAATCAGCAGGGGATCAAATACTTTTTTCCCTCACTGTATAGGCTATTCATCAAAGTAGCTTATTTTGCATTGATAACCAAATATAATCTCAGCGACTGTTCAAACAATAAACCGAACAACAAAATCCACCCAAAAAGGTATTTTGTTTAGAAGTAATAACTAGTGATTACAAGCTATTGTGAAATGCTTGAGCCTGCTGTTGCCAACTAGCTAGCCATGTGCTGTTTTTCTCCATGACCAAAAGATGATGAAGTTCTATTTTTAGCAGATATGGGAATGAATACACACGCAACATATCAAACAGGGATAATGGTTTAGGTTACACCGGCAAGTATAAGAATATTTGACAGGGCATATTTTTTTTTATTATACAGTGCCTTCAGAAAGTATTCACACCCCTTGACTTTTTCCACATTTTGTTGTGTTACAAAGTGGGATTAAAGTGGATTTTAGGGCTGACCCCATTTTGTCGACTGGTCGATTGTTTGGTCGATAGGTTGTTGGTCGACCGAGATTTCTTTAGTTGAGCAGTAGCAAAAAATATCATGGTGTACAAGACACCTGTGTGATTCGCGCCTGTCTGAATGGACTGATCCATTGTGGAGGCCGTGGGGATGGCACAGTCCATCACTCTAAGACGTGCTACTGAAATTCTATATGGTTATATTAAATAAGAACAATAGTGCAACACTAATAAAAATAATATTATTTTATAACAAATGCACTTCTCCCTCGTTGGATAGCGGTCGCTGTCCACAGTTCTGAAACACATCAGTGCGCTGTTGAATTGGTGCCTTTTCCTAGACCATGTTGCTATGTGCATAATAGCAAAGTTAACCAGCATATTGGTGTTGAGAACAATGTGGCGGAGGCAGCAGCAGAATGAGGAGATGAGAAAACAGCCCTTGCCTTATTGTCTAAGAAAAGTGAGGAGAGCAGAAACCCCAACTTAATTAGGTCTATAATCAATAGCCTAACTGTTCAATGTGCCTGGCTTTATAAATAATCAATATATCTACAGAAATAAGACAGATCCTGCTTCTGTTGCCTGTTTGAGTATTTGTTTAAAAACATACTGATTCCCGTGAGCACCAAGCCTCACGCAACAATATGTGATGTAAACAATTTCACAGATTCGGCTGTTTTTAATCTTTGCTTTGCTGTAATAAAGGCTTTACACTTTTTTTTTTCTCTCGTTAGAACAGCCTCTCTGGTATTATTTATAATTGATTTAGTGTTTACACTGTTCCAATTGAATAATTAGCTTAAACAATAAATAAACCATTCTATTTGGGAAATCGCATTCACTAATTAATACGACTGTTTTTAGTCTTTTCTGTAATAAAGGCTTGACAAAAATGATACAACAGACTCTGGTATGCTTATACTTTATTTAGTGTTATTAACAATGTTCCAAACGGTCAGAGAAATTATATTTTAATCTAGACAGCACCTGTTTGGCACACAATACACATAATACAACTAGTCACGTTTATGCCACACATCTGACTTTCCCTTTAGCTCCTGAGCAACCAGTAAACATTCCCCCGTTTTATGAGTTTATTTGTCATGTCCTCTGCATCCATTTGCTGTCACGTGTTACAGTGTTGAGTTTGCTACAACCAATTTATTGATGTGATTATGATGCTATAGGTCAAGCCCTATTGTGCCCTATTCGGACGGAATAAGATTTACTGGGGGAGGTTGGGTAATGTAAATATGTGCACGATCACAAAACGCCACATTTGTAATTTTAGTTCTGTCCGAATCTGCCATGGCAGTAATTTTTACATGGCAGGAGAGTAACAGTTCCAGCCAGAATAACCTACTGTTTTTGGGCTAACTCCAAGTTCCCTGGGTTTTGAGAGAAATGTCTGAGTTTGACAGGTGTTGCTCATGTTGCGCACGAAAACAATAACTGATTCGATAAATTGAACTAAGTGCTGCGCATAAGCTATATATGAATGGCCTACATGTAGCCTATCAACTTTCACAGTGAATGCTTTTGTTTGTTTTGTGCGTATGAATTGAATATTGCTAAATGCATCAGTAAAAAATATTGAGTCTATTTAATGCAACCCTTGCTGTTAATAGATCACAAAGCAGCATACAACTGACCTAAATGTTTGGAAATGGTAAATTAACTTTCTCATCCATAGCCTTAAAATGCATCTCAAGTGCAATTGCACTGTTTAGCTCACATCTGAAGGCTGGGGGGCATTTAGGACATACTGCAGATTGCTATAATATCCTAATGATCATGATCACTCTTCCTCAATTCAAATATTATGGGAAGATGGTTTGGTGTGGTTTAGAAACTTGGGAACCAAGCTCGAGTTCAGTCTGGCCCTATCACCTGGACATGTTGAAATACTGCATCTTCACGCTTAGAATAAAAACCTCCAGGCTTCCGTCATAACTGGCAATTTATTGGAAAGAAATTAAGAATTACAGTTTGGAAAAAACCAATCCCGTCCGAATCGTCCTCTGGAATAACAGATATTCTGGAGTAATAATTACATAACCAACGTTCTCTAGTAATACTAGGCCCGTGTGAATAGGTTTTTGGTCACGTGCATGCGATGCATACAGTTGTAGTCAGAAGTTTACATACACCTTAGCCAAATACATTTAAACTCAGTTTTTCCACAATTCCTGACATTTAATCCTAGTAAAGATTCCCTGTTTTAGGTCATTTCGGCCTCCACTCAGCTTGTATCAGTCAGCTGATGCTAAACGTGAGTGGGCCTGGGTTAACTGTGGGCCACTGGCCACCATTAACACATACTGTACCTGCCAAGCCACTGATCAGGGTTTTAAGATGGTTCACGTCATACAGGGATTCATTGTGGAAGGTTTTTTCTTCTTCTTCGGAGTGAGGCGTACGGGAAGGGTTGGGGCTACAAGGTCCTGTGGGTTCTACTGGTCTAGGTTTAACTAAGAGGTCATACAGTAAAAATTCCCTGTCTTAGGTCAGTTAGGATCACCACTTTATTTTAAGTATGTGAAATGTCAGAATAATAGTAGAGAGAATTATTTCTTTCAGCTTTTATTTCTTTCATCACATTCCCAGTGGGTCAGAAGTTTACATACACTCAATTAGTATTTGGTAGCATTGCCTTTGAATTGTTTGTCTTGGGTCAAATGTTTCGCGTAGCCTTCCACAAGCTTCCCACAATAAGTTGGGTGAATTTTGGCCCATTCCTCCTGACAGAGCTTGTGTAACTGAGTCAGGTTTGTAGGCCTCCTTGCTTGCACATGCTTTTTCAGTTCTGCCCACAAATGTTTGATAGGATTGAGGTCAGGGCTTTGTGATGGCCACTCCAATACCTTGACTTTGTTGTCCTTAAGCCATTTTGCCACAACTTTGGAAGTTTGCTTGGGGTCATTGTCTATTTGGAAGACCCATTTGCGACCAAGCTTTAACTTCCTGACTGATATCTTGAGATGTTGCTTCAATATATCCACATACTTTTCCTTTCTCATGATGCCATCTATTCTGTGAAGTGCACCAGTCCCTCCTGCAGCAAAGCACCCCCACAGCATGATGCTGCCACCCCCGTGCTTCACGGTTGGGATGGTGTTCGTCGGCTTGCAAGCTACCCCCTTTTTCCTCCAAACATAATGATGGTCATTATGGCCAAACAATTATATTTTTGTTTCATCAGACCAGAGGACATTTCTCCAAAAAGTACGATATTTGTCCCCATGTGCAGTTGCAAACCGTAGTCTGGCCTTTTTATGTCGGTTTTGGAGCAGTGGCTTCTTCCTTGCTGAGCGGCCTTTCAAGTTATGTCGATATAGGACTCGTTTTACTGTGGATATAGATACTTTTTTACCTGTTTCATCCAGCATCTTCACAAGGTCCTTTGCTGTTGTTGTGGGATTGATTTGCACTTTTCGCACCAAAGTACGTTAATCTCTAGGAGACAGAACGCGTCTCCTTCCTGAGCGGTATGACGGCTGCGTGGTCCCATGGTGTTTATACTTGCGTACTATTGTTTGTACAGATGAACGTGGTACCTTCAGGCGTTTGGAAATTGCTCCCAAGGATGAACCAGACTTGTGGAGGTCTACAATTCTTTTTCTGAGGTCTTGGCTGATTTTCTTTTGATTTTCCCATGATGTCAAGCAAAGAGGCACTGAGTTTGAAGGTAGGCCTTGAAAATCATCCACAGGTACACCTCCAATTGACTCAAATGATGTCAATTAACCTATCAGACGCTTCTAAAGCCATGACATCATTTTCTGGACTTTTCCAAGCTGTTTAAAGGCACAGTCAACTTAGTGTATGTAAACTTCTGACCCACTGGAATTGTGATACAGTGAATTATAAGTGAAATAATCTGTCCTAACCGACTTGCCAAAACTATAGTTTGTTAACAAGAAATGTGTGGAGTGGTTGAAAAACGAGTTTTAATGACTCCAACCTTAGTGTATGTAAACTTCCGACTTCGACTGTACATGTGTCACGTAAAGAGAGCAAGGGTTGAGGGAATAGGGAATGTTTTTCCTAAACAAATGAGGGATTTCGGTAACAGAACCTTTCAGTCAGAAATGGCTGTAATTATGTTGCAGGTTCAGCAACACGGACAGCCCTATACACACTGATGTTCTGTGGTGGTCGCTGCAGCAGGGAGGAGAGAGAGACAACGGGTGCTAGTCACAGTCACTCGCTGTCTTTTCTTTTTAACAGCGCAGCAAGTCTGAGCCCGGCACAATCAAATCAATTGCTGGTCGGACTCCCTCTAGTTATTTGTGTGTCTTAATTATTTAATCAAACAGTGTGCTTAAAGCATCAGACAATCTCAGTGAATATAGTTGATTTGATTGAAACACATAGGATGTGTCAATATATGGAAAAATACACGTTTAAAAATGTTGACCAATCGATTGGACGAAAGAACAGATGACTCTTGGTCGACCAAGATTTTTTTTTTGTCAGGGATAGCCCTAATGGATGTCTGTTTTTTTTTTTTGTCAACGATCTACACAAAATACTCTGTCAGAGGAAGAAAAATTCTAACATTTTATAAAACATTTATGAAAAATACAACACTATCTTGATTAGATAAGCATTCAATCCCCTGAGTCAATACAAGTTAAAATCACCTTTTGGCAGTGATTACAGAGTCTTTCTGGGTAAGTCTCTAAGAGCTTTTGCAGACCTGGATTGTACAATATTTTCACATTATTATTTTTTTTATTCTTCAAGCTCTGTCAAGTTGGTTGTTAATCATTGCTAGACAGCCATTTTCAAGTCTTGCAATATAATTTTCATTTATTTTATATTTACCCATCTACTAATAGGTGCCCTTCTTTGCGAGGCATTGGAAAACCTCCCTGGTCTTTGTGGTTGAATCTGTTTTTGAAATTCACTGCTCGACTGAGGGACCTTACAGATAATTGTATGTGTGGGATACAGAGATGAGGTAGTCATAACAAAAATAATGTCAAACACAATAAGTCCATGCAACTTATTATGTGACTTGTTAAGCACATTTTTACTCCTGAACTTATTTAGGCTTGCCATAACAAAGGGGTTGAATATTTATTGACTTAGACATTTCAGCTTTTCATTTGGATTTATTTGAGAAGCAAAAAATAAAAATATAATTCCACTTTGACATTATGGGGTAAAATCTCAATTGAATCAAAATTCAGGTGGCAAACACAACAAAATGTGGAAAAAATCGAGGGGTGTGAATACTTTCTGAAGGCACTGTAAATCTGATTATTTCACATGAAGATGTGGGAAGCTAAAAAGTCTAGCTAGCTTGCTATGTTTTTAGCCAGGCTAAAGCCAGCTAGCCAGGCTGCCAGCTAGGTGGCACTACTAGCAAGGGAAGGCAACTCTTCCTTGCTTTCACAAAATGAAAAGACAAAAATAAAAAAACTTTGCTATCGCCCCCTTATGAATAGGAGTGGGATCGTTGCGAGGATAAAAGGTGTCCGCTACTACAAAAATCCCACTCCACCCACGTGCATGCATGCATGCACGCACTTAGATCAACGGAGTGGGGCTTGTAGTAACCTTTAGAGTATAGCTTTTTTACAGGTGTAGCGTGTGTGTGTGTGTAGTGTGTGTATGTAGTTTGTGTGTGTGTAGCATGATGTGTGTGTTTAGTAGCGTGTTTGTGTAGCCTTTGAACACATTAGGCACTCATCCTCCCCTCCTTTCATGTCCCTTCCTCCAGCGTAATCAACCCTTAGATAATAGCTCAGATCAAAAGAAAGATCTGGAAGAGAGCAGTTAGCTACCAGTTAACCTGTAGAATAACAGCCCTTTAACTTAATCTAAGTCTGGTGACATTAATTAAAAAGAACATCAAACTAAATAGACATCTTTAAAAATATGTGTACCTGTATAGCTGTAAAGATTTGGCCCTCTGATGAATAGACCTGAATTCTGTACTTGTGTTTTCCCTCTGTAATCATATTGGTCCTGACATTCTGGTTCAATGCCTTTTAACCGTTTCTCTCCACAGAGGAGCTGAAGGACTACTTGGTAGGAGAACATGCCATCAATAAGATTTTCACCCTGGGTAACACTGAGTTCCCTGTGAGCTGGGACAATGAGATCAAACTGTGGACTTTCCTGGAGACCAGGGCTGCCCTGCTTCTCCAGACCTACAAGACCAGCTCCCAGGTCAGAGAAGATTTCACCCACCTCACTGTTGTTTTGGGTCAGTGTGTCAACTCTGTATCAGTGTTGTATAAAGTAATCTTTAGAAGATTTCAACAGGACCCATTCTCAACCAGATAAGTTAACAAATTCTTCCTCTGACTTCTGTATGTTATCCCGTTCTCTCTCTGCTTCCCCCCGCTCTCTCTCCCTTATGCCCCTCTCTCTCTCTCTCTCTCTCTCTCTCTCTCTCTCTCTCTCTCTCTCTCTCTCTCTCTCTCTCTGTGTGTCTGCTCCTTCACTTTCTGTCTGTCTGCTCTACCTCACTCCCTTCCTCTCTGCCCAATGTCTCCCCCACCTCCCTCCGTCCTCCAGGATGACCAGTGTGCGTTGGAGAAGCCCGACCTCTCCTTCCACTCCCGCGTGGCCATCCAGCTGCGCCTGGCCGAGAAGCAGATCCTGGAGAGGGTGGTGGCCAGTGGCAAGGCCAGGCGCCTGCACTTCCAGCAGCAGCAGGAGGAAGGCGCTCCGCTACCCCGCTATGAGGAGAGCGACATCTCCCTTCTGGAGAACGCCGACACCAAGCTGCCCCTCATTCTGAGGAAACTACAGGAGGAGGACGAGGAGGGAGATGACCAGGCAGCGGTGGAGCAGGTGTTAGCCCAGGTACAGCAGCTGGGACAGGGGGACGCAGCCAGGGAACAAGCCCCCCTCATAGTCAATGGGGATGGTGGGAAGGTGGTGGTCAACGGGAATGGTACGGACGCTAGCCCAGTCCTGGAGGTTGGTGTGGATGCTAGCCTGATTCAAGAGGCTAGCAAAGAAGTTATCTCAACCTCCTTGGACTCAGGCCAAAGTGCTAGCCCTGCCCAGGAGGAGGATGGTATGGATGCTAACGCCTCCACGCCAGATGCTGCTGTCCAAGCTAACACCCAGGAACAGGAAGGCCAAACAGAGAACTGAGGAGACAAGGCTACTGCTTCTCTCTTACAGGAAGTGGACGTGGACCTGAGTGCAGAACGAACTGGAGACGAGCCCAATGTGAACAGTGAATAGGTGGAATCATCATCTAGCTAGGCCTTATTGCAGCAGTCAGCCAGCCAGCCACGGCAGCCCTTTGCTATTTATTTATTTTTGTCTCTCTTAAGTGACTCACAGAAATAAAGAAGGAGCTAAGAATAAAATAATATAAAAACTAAACAGAATTAGAATTTTAAAAAATGGCAAAACTTTTCACTGTCTGTTGGTTGGTTTGTCCCTCCTTCCATGGCTGTTAGTTTTACCTCCCTACTGCTGCAGACTGCAGACTGCCAGTCAATGTCACTCCCCTCTGCCTTCTATCTGAGCAGTAAAAGTTTGTAATTTTTATGAAATACTTTTTTTTCTTTAACAGTGCTTCACTGGTTTACATTGAGTTTATTGACATACGAGCTGTGAGAGAATGGTAGTTAGTAACAGCAGCAGCACTGGTTTCAGTTCCGCTACTGTAGGATGGACAGAAAGAAAGAACAGAGATTGAATTTAGTTTAATGTTATCTCCAGCAAGCCAAAATCTAATCCGAACACTTTTACCCTAATACTGTTGTTTTTCTCTATATACGCCTGCTATAATTTCACTCGACAATCTTTTTCTGTGGCGTATTCGGCTCTTTGTTGCTCATTGTTTGAGACCATCACTGCCTCTCTCTTTCTCGCGCTGCACTTCCTGGTTTCACTCAATAGCATTTCAAATACAACTGAAGGAAACTTTTGACACAAAATGGCGGATATGTCCTATGCTCTTGTTCTGGGAACAATCAGTATTTTAATTTCTCTACTCTGAGTATAATGTACCATTAGAAATGTGATGGAAAATGTATGGGTAATATGTGCGTTTATTGAGCAAAATTAGATGACTAAAAGCAGGTGATTTGGGTCGTTTTTGAAAACTTTAAATAATTACTAAGTTTAAAATGTTAAACATTATTATGAATGTACCTCAGCTCTCCAAGTTGCAGTTGAATCACCCGAGGACGAGTTGCTGTTGTGATGAAGAATATGACTAATGCTAGTCTATATTATGAACAAGCCATAACAGTCAGAATGGAGACTAATTCAAACCTCTTCATCAGCAAGACATGACAAGAGACGTCATGTGATCTCCTAGACGTGTTTCACACAAAGGACTTCAACTAATTTCTGTTAGATTATTGTTTTGTTGTTGGACAGCCTTAAAGTGTTGTTTTCCTTTTCTGTTACTCCTCCTTCCTCCACCCCAGGAACAAGACAAACAGGACATTGGTAATGTGGTCTCTCTTCCAGTCGCTAAATTCTCAACATATGTTTTTATTTGTCTTTAGGATGTCTGCTCTGTATTTCAAAGCCTACGTTGGTTTTGTATTAACACTGAATGGCAGTGAAACATGATGAGGATGTGTTGCTTGCTCTCTCTATTAGATACTGAAGTAAGCTCTTAAATAACCCTTAGCTCCAGCACAGTAGCTGTTATTATTATCATGTGATCTGTTATCTATTATCGTGTCTGGACAGCCGAGGGAGGGAGCTAATTCAGAATATTGGTGTCTGCGTTCTCCCCCTATGAATAAGCCATGTGATGGATGGTGGATATGAGGGGCCATTTTAAGAAACCATGTACCACCACACTTAGTTAGCCTTACTCCAAAGTTTTAGCTAGCGCTGCTTATTATAATTTGTCTATCTATACGTTGATGCTGTTACCAACCTCTGAGTCTATTCTACTGTATAATATAACTAGAAGGGGTTTGTTTTGTAACTTTTAATTTGTTGAAGTATCACCATGTTGTTTTCTGCTGTATTTTGCTTTGTCACTGCATCATGGACTGGTTTGTTTCTGTATTTTGATTCATTCATCATTTGTAACATTCTCTACCGGTCTGTACCTGCTGCTTTTCTAAAGACTTTGTTTCTAGTTACTGTACAGTTACTGAGAATCTACCTACTGCTTTAACCAATCACACTCTCCAAGCAATTCACAGCACCTTGGTATATCCAGTGCTGTCCTTGTCAAACTCCATCGCTGTCCTTGTCAAACCAATGAGTGACAAGGAGTTGGCATGGTGGCACAAACAGACTGGCACTCAGGCTACCTTGTAGCCTGGTCCCACATCTGTACTATACGCGCATCCTCTGACATTGATAGTTGGTGGTAACAATGGACTTTAGTGTCCTCATTACTGTTTGATTAATATTGTAACTACAGTGTATGAACTGTTCAAATGATTCATTGTTAATGTACGTACAGCAGTATCCCCAACCCTGCCCCAGTATCTGTGTGTTAGAGATGTCGACGATGAGTATGACGTGCCTCTTCTCTAACACCCAGGAAGTTCCAATTCAAACTCCCATTAGGCAGTTCTCCATTTACTCCAGTTACGACCGGTATGTACTTCCAAAAAAGGTCTAAATAAAAATTGACAAGCAACTGAAAAAATGCCTCATCGGCGCCTCCAATATATTGAGCTGTTGTAGACTCTTAACCTGTGCGTGGCAGTAATGAGTGATTGGAGGTGCCACATTTCTTTATTTAGACCTTTTTTGGAAGTATATACCGGCCGTAACGGGAGTAAGTGATGATGATTGCTCAGCGAAACTCCATATTTGGTGAGTAACAAACATATTTTGAACGTAAATCTTGCAGAGCTGTCTAATGGGAGTTTGAATCGGAGGTCCCTGGGTGTTAGAGAGGAGACATCTCTAACGCACAGATACTGGGGCACCCCAACCCTCGGAAGCAAAGGCTTCTCACATTCTGTCAACAACACCAGATTTGCGCGAGACTACCCTAACCCTTACCCTAAATACAGTGTAAGTACAGTAAAAAATGGAGTAAGTACAATAGTTGTTACACTGTACTGCAGCACATCCAGATATGCAGTAGTTTTGGGCTTGTTTCTCTGCCTGTGTGAGAGAGACCGGAGGTTGTGATGTAAACTAACTATGGAGGACAGAATACAGTCATGAAACTGTCCACATGGAAACAGATTAAAGGTGTAGTTTCTCACCACCTGATTGTGTACTGCCTTGTTATTTCTCTTTCTTTTGACAAGTCTTTCAGCCCATCCTCTCCTCCAGAGACACAAGGTCACCATCCCTTCTGCTCTCTCTCTCTCTCTCTCTCTCTCTCTCTATCTATCGCTCTCTCTCTCTCTCTCTCTCTCTCTCTCTCTCTCTCTCTCTCTCTCTCTCTCTCTCTCTCTCTCTCTCTCTCTCTCTCTCTCTCTCTCTCTCTCTCTCTCGCTTTCTTTTTCTCTCTCTCCCTCTCTTCTCCTTTGTTAGGGGAAAAAGTTTTATTTAATGTATTTTCCCTTTCTCTGGCCCTATTACAAATGTATAAAAGAAACATTATCTTGAATCATTTAATTCGGGGCAATTAAATTTTGAAATTCACCATTCATAATGCATTGGAGCTCCAAGATAAAACCCCTTTAATCCTTGAATATATTATTATAATGGCCGTGGGGGTGGGCAGTGGAGAGAGCGGGAGTCCTATACATGTCCAGTATTGTTAGTGCTCTCTGTGTCAGTAGCTTACTGCAGGGGGGGGAGGGATGTGTGGGAGAGCGTGTGAGGGACAGGAGAGGAGCAGGCCTGGGACCAGTGACTCCAAAGTAATCCTTTGCCATAAATTATAAACTCCCCTACCTATTAATATACAATTGCAGCCGCCACAGCCCAACCCAACGCTAGGGCCCATTGTCATGCAAGTGTTTATTTACCAATAGCATCCAATCCCCATCCCGTCTCCTGGTTGAGGAGGGGGTGGAGAAGGAGGAGGGATAGGTTTTGGAGTGGTGGTAGAGAGGAGGGTGAGATTAGTTATTTTTGGGAATAAGGGGACAGTAGGAGAGAGGGAGGTTTTGGAAGGATGGTACAGAGGAGGAGGAGGTTAGGAGGTCATATGAGAGTTGTGTTTGGGGATAATGGGGACTGGGAGAGAGGGAATGGGGTCATGTGGAGGATAGGTCAACAGTGTATTTTAGGAGAAAGTTAGCTGGGGTTGAAACATGCTAAGTGTTCTAAATACAACATGGCTGGTGTACAGTACAGTGCTGTGTGGTGCAGTCACATGTTTTGCCTGTGTTAACACGAATCTGGGTTATCACAGGGACAGTGGAACACCTCCAGGATCATGATCAGCTGTTGGTGGGCTGTTATTCCATCAGTTCTTCAGAGCACAGTGTGACACACTCACTCACCCATGCACAAACGCATGCATTTATACAGACACTCAGGCATGCATGTATACACACACACACACACACACTCTCACACTGGAGCCATTGCTTGTATGTATGGTATCGCGCGCGCACACACAGACATTTGACACCACCGTAGGAAGTTCACTGTTTGCACTCGGCTGTGAGTCTGTTGCAACCACATGGATAAGAGATGATTGGACTGTATAGTGCTAAAAACATCAGCAGCTGCTCACTGCTCAGCCCATTACGCTTCTATATCCAACTACAGTACTGTGTGTCTGTTCACGCATGCAGGTAAAGTTTGGCTAGAGGTTAGGCTGTTATTGTCTCGAACAGACACACTATCTTTACAGTGTGGGATTGCGCTCTGTGAGAGTACAATATAATGCTACCGTCTTCTTGTGGTTGGGCCTCCCCTAACCCATCCTAACCTCGGTGGATACACTAAGCCCACATGAGGGTTTGTGAAGACGACAGCAGCATGTCTTGGGGGTTAACGTTCATGTTTATGACACAAGCCACAGTTAGAGAGTCTGGGTTCTCTGATAGCCTCTGTCCGTTGTGCTTCTGTCAGTCTCCATAGATAGCCCATCTGTTTGTCCATTGGTCTGCTCTTTCTCTGTCTGTCTGTTTGAAGTGGTTTGCAGAACAAGAAGAGCTGAACAACTTTGCGTCAGTGAAAGCAGCATTGCGGCATCTGTCCGTGTGACCTGAGTCTGTCTGATACTCACACTGTTGTAGTCA